GCCTGTAATCCCAACCCTTTGGAAGGCTAAGGCAGGCAGATTACTTGAGGTCAGGAGTTCAAGACCAGTCTGGCCAACATTGTGAAATCCTGTCTCTACTAAAAATACAAAAATTAGCCGGGCACTTGGTGCATGCCTGTAGTCCCAGCTACTCAGAAGGCTGAGACAAAAGGATCGCTTAAACCTGGGAGGCAGAGGCTGCAGTGAGCTGAGATGATGCCATTGCACTCCAGCCTGGGCAACAGAGTAAGACTTTGTCTCAAAAAAAAAAAAAAAAAATGTTAGGAAGACAGGCAGTTTTGATAAGGAATTAAATATAATTTTAACAAATAAAAAATATAATTTAAATTAACATTCAGTGGATGAGCAATAGTATATTAGATAAAGAGATAATTTACCCATTAGAAACCAGCTCTTCAGAATTTAGAATTCAGTGCAGAAAGATTTTGAAAGGATGGAAAAGATGAAATTGAATTTAAGAAATGATAAAAGATATATTACAGAAAAAGAAAACACAGAAAATATGAGAGGCAATAATACTCAAACATGATGACTAAGAACTTTCCAGCATTGATGAAAGACTCAAATCTTTAAGTATGTGAAGCACACCAAGTCCCAACCAGCAAAAATGAAGAGCAGAAAAATAAGCATTTCACAGCCAGTCACATCATAATGAAACATCAAAGACAAAGAGATGATCTTAAATTATTGAAGACAGATTACTTATAAGGGACAAGAATTAGGATAACAATAGAGAGGGTGTATGGAAACTATCACCTTTATCTATCCTTACAATTTGGTATAGGCCAGTGGAGGTTTATGAAACATAAAAGTCAAACTTTAAAATGTGTATAGATTTGTCTCAGCAATTTAACTTCTGACAACTTTTTTTTTTTTGAGATGGAGTCTTGCTCTGTTGCCCAGCCTGGAGTGCAATAGCGTCATCTCCGCTCACCACAGCCTCCGCCTCCTGGGTTCAAGTGATTCTCCTGCCTCAGCCTCCAGGGTAGCTGGGATTACAGGCATGTGCCACCACACCCGGCTAATTTTTTGTGTTTTTAGTAGAGATGGGGTTTCACCATGTTGGCCAGGCTGGTCTCAAACTCCTGACCTCATGATATGCCCACCTCAGCCTCCCAAAGTGCTGGGATTATATGCATAAGCCACCGCCCCCGGCCAAGTTCTAACAATTTATCTGAAGGAATATTTGCACAAGTATATGTTTAAGATTATTTGTTACAAAGCTGCTTAGTAAAAAGTTGTAAAGAACTTAAATTTGCATCAATAGGAAACCAACTAAATATGTAATGAAATTCCATGCAATCATTAAATAGAACGAGATGGATTTATATACATTAACTTCTAAAATTATCTACCATATATGTGACTTGGGTCGGCTTTCCATCTCTGAGCCTCAGCTTCCTCTACTCTAAAATAGAGATAAATGCAAAACCTACCTCTTAGGATGTTTGATTATTAAATAGTTAATATAGACACGGAGTGTATACTATATTATTTGCTGTTTTATTATTTTATTTCATTATTTAGTAAGTACTGGTATAGTGCTTACCATGTGCAAGGTACTGTTCTAAGTGCTTTAGAATATTAATTCATTACCAATATAATACATTCATAAGTGAAAAAGTAAGTTAAGAACAGTATATCTTTTATTATATATTACAGTACATGTATATCAAACTCTTCAGTCATCATCTCTGCATAGAAAATTATATGGGGGGTAACTTCTATTTTATACTTTATGTCTATACTTTCTGCATCTTTATAAAGAGACCTTTATAATTTGAAAAAGTTAATACATGTATTTATGCTTTGGAAAAAACACTTCTTCCAAATATTATACTATTTTGATAAAGTAACATGAATCTTTCTGTTCATTAGTTTGATATTTTTGCAGTTCTGTTGCTCCACTGATCTCCAGGACAAACTCAAGGATGGGAAAACTTTTGTCAAAGGCAATGGATTCCTATGTTGATTAGCTTTTCACAACACTTGGATATTGGCTGAATAATTTTTAGGTGGAGGTCCTGATGAACAGGACACAGATCGTGTCATTTTCTTAGGGAAGGAATCAATCCATAGAGATAGTAAGCTTGAAGCCTACAAGAGGAAGTTAGCAGAGCCACCTAGATGGAGGAAGCAAAGGGGATCAGAGAACAGGAGCTGCTGATGAAGTCTCCATCCATTTGAATTTTCTATGTAGAGGTGCAAACCTGGAATTTATGATTTTATAGTCTGGAATGGTTTGGAGGATCAAGCACAAAAGTTTTGTTAGGGTTCTGATTTCTCAGCGAACATTTTCCACACTTTGTTGGGTGTTACTGACTTACAGCTTAAAGGGAAAAGTAAAATAAAGTTAAGTTCCTATAGGAAAAGGAAGCACTGCTAGGTCAGCTCTATTTAGGTATACTGATATGACATTGACAGGGAAGTCTCTGTTGTTTCCCAGATGCCACAGTCATCCGGAATGAAGAAGAAAGTTTTCTATCTCACACCTGTGGAGGCTCTTCTAGAAAGGTTAATCCCTGTCTCAGGCCCCTGTGTGCCAAAGGGCTTTAGAAAAGGATTCGTGGCAGGATGTGAGTAGGGAACATCTTATTGTCTGACGTCGCCAGAGAAAGCTACATATCACATTTCACACAACCTAAGATGCTCATTTTTTCATATTTTTGCATATCTGGGTTGCATCTCAGTCATTAATCCCTTACAATCACGATTGAATAAATTTTAATTTCTTTGTTGCACATTTTAATACCTCAGAAATTGAGATTTGTCTTACAGGTGCTAAAGGCATTCACACCCAGTTTGTGGCTCCTGCCCTCCAGTTAAGATCTTACCTTGGTTGTCTCCAAATGTGAGAATGAATATACAGTACTAAAACAAAAATAAATCAACCATGTTGGCTCATAAAGCTTTATTTTTAACTGAAATAGAAATTTTCCTGCTGCCCGAGATCATCTCATTAATTCCCCACAGAAATAAAAGCATTATTTTCAGTGAGATGATGCCAGTTAGCCTTCTTCCCTCAAAACCTTTTATTTTCTGCCTATTTGTTTTATTAGGTTGAAATCGAGACTAAGTGGCTTTTCAGGGCCATGTAGAGGAAATTCTCTTCTCAGAGACAGTTTTATCTGCTTCTCTAACCCACTTCACATTCTACTTTAGGTATGGTATGTAGCCAAAGAGTGATCTATATTTTTTTCTTATATATCTGAAACCATTTCTCCTGAGTACCTCTAAAGGCCAGGAAGACAGGCACTCAGGGGCAGAGCAATATGGCAATAGAAAATGCTGAATTGAATGGTAGGGCCAGAATTTTCAATGAGGGCTTGCTATGGTGATTGCTTGGGACAAATTTTGAAATACAAGATTCTGATTTTACTTTCCTATTTTGACCAGTGGCATATGCCCCTTTTAAAATGCTAGATCAGAGGGCCAACCATAGTAGTTCACACCTGTAATCCCAGCACTTTGGGAGGCTGAGGTGGGCAGATCACTTGAGGCCAGGAGTTGGAAACCAGCCTGGGCAACATCGTGAAGCCACATCTCTACTAAATATGCAAAAATTAGCCAGGCATGGTGGTATGCACCTATAATCCCAGCTACTTGGGAGGCTGAGGCAAGAGAATCCCTTGAGCCTGGGAGGTGGAGGTTGCAATGAGCTGAGATAGAGTCACTGAACTCCAGCCTGGGTGACAGAGCCAGACCCTGTCTCAAAAAAAAAAAAGAGAGAGAGAGAAAGAGAGAGAGAGAGAGAGAGAGAATTAGGTCCTCTGACCAATGCAGGGACTCATGCCTATAATCCCAATACACTGGAAGGCCAAGGTGGGTGAATTGCTTGAGTCCAGGAATTTGAGACGAGACTGGGTGACATGGCAAAATCCTCATCTCTACAATAAAATAGAATATCAGACCATAGAAATGAAATCTTTTAAGGTGATAATGTAATTATTATTTTTTATAGCTGAAGGGGTCTTTTTTATAAGTTTTTTAATTATTGTAAAAGACTCATTTAAAATTTGCAAATGTCTCATTTTCTTCCCTCATATTCTTTGACTCAACTATGATTTTTTTTTAATGCACTAATTTATTCAAGACTGAATGTGGCTCTTACTACATTCTGTGAATATCACATTCAGATGAATACTGCTTTATGTACAGAAACTGGTTGAATGTAGAGTACTTGAGACCCACATTCAAATAAATGGATGCTTGAGTGCATCAAGCTCTTGTTGATTGCATTTTCTATTATTATCTTGTTTACCCTTGAAGCTTTAAGCCATTAGGGCAAAGATCGGGCAGAAGTGAAGCTGGAATCAAGAGAGGGCTATCAGTCAGCATTGCTGGTGGAAGAGGTGTCTGGGCACCAACACAAAACGGCAAATAAGAGTCAGGGAGGGTCTAGACACAGAACAAAAAGAATGGAGCCCTTCTAGGTACAGGGTTATATTGCAGGGCTCCCTAATGCTTAAACAACTCCTTATTTCCTCGGGGCTTTGAAAAGCAGCCTCCTGTCAAAACACAGAAGAGGCATTCTGGGGAGTGAGGAGGCAAGTCATACGGAAAATGTAAGTGGTTTCAGTGCATGAGTCTCCATCACTTGTCAGGACACCTGAGTGCTGCAAGCCCAGTTTCTTTGCAATTAAAAGGCTGCACTATATACCCTTAGGGCCAACAAAATCTATTCAGAAGCCTTTATTTGAAGATATTTTTGCAGACATATGAAATGGGTAAGACAAGTAGAATTCTAAACAATGAGCATAAATAATACTTTCTATCTATCTGTCTATTTATCTATCATGTCACAGAAGCAAATGTCAATACACATAACTATAAAAGATCAGTGTTGTTTTCAAAATGTTAGACTTCTGGCTGCCTTCTTTCCTAGAGATCAAATTTTCCTGTTGCATCTACAAAAGCGGAAGCAATCATGTAATGTTTACACCACATTTGATTTGCTTTTTCCTCTGTTTATGCTGCAGCTCTTAATATCACAAATGCCACAGAGAGAGGTATTTAAAACCCCAACGTGTGCTGTGCTCTCAGTGATTGCAGTTTTAATAAAATTTGCAGTGGTCCTGTTCCCGGCATCAATCCTACTTGTTTGATGCCACTAACAGGTTTGATTTGCTGTCATGAGTACATTGTGCATTTAAACACCAAAAAAAAAAAAAAAAATCACAAACCTCTGATATTCCTGGAGACTATCATTGGGAAAATTAAATCTGCATGATTTAAGACGATGCATGTTCTAAAAGAAGAGCTTGACCCATTGATTTTGACTCTAGGGGACATAATGGTATGGCCTCATCTAAAAAGTTCCATAAGGCTTTCTAAAGCGGTCTTAGAGTCAAACAGTTGTCACTACATTTCTCTAAGAAAAAATAACTTGTATAATAATGAAAGCACTGAATAGATAATACATAATGCTTCAAGTCAACAGATAATTAGGCCCTCTTAAATTGCAATGTTGAGAAAAATGTACTTTAATTAAGTTGTTTAATGTTGACATTATTTAAAATGAAAAGTTATTGTGACCTGAAATATGCATACTCTAATCAGAGTGAGTTAATATAATTTTTCAGATATTAAAATGTGATGCATAAATTCAAGCATATATACACAGTAAAGGAAAATTTATTTCTCTTTAACGCATTAGTTCATCCAACAAAGATGCACTGAGCAATGTTCCAGATGCAACATGAGACAGAGAAGGCCATGCCTTCACTGAGCTTAATTTCAAAATGTAACTACTTTGATTCATGCAAAGATGTCATGGAAAGCTATTAGAATTCTGTGACAATACAGGGTTCAAGTCATTTTACATTCAGTTATTTCCTTCAGATATCAAATACATGACTCTGGCATTTTACTATATTTATTTCCATGAATAACAAACTATATACAAGGCATTACTTTTGGAGAAGACTTAATGGTTAATAACATGGGCAGTAGGCTCTCAGGAAAACTTTATGGGCTCAAGAGTTTCACGTAAACTCCTTGAGTCCAAATCATGGTTCCAACACCTGTCACATGTGTAACTTCCAGTAGGTTACTTAGTCTCTTTGTGCCTCAGTTTCCCCACTTGTAAAATTAGGTTAATACTATCTACATCATAAATTGAAGAACTTAGAGGGGGATAATACATTTATAGCCCTTATAAGAGTGACCGACACAAAGTAAACACTTAAGTAGAAATTACCAATGTTAGTTCTAGGGCTAATATAACATCTGTGCACCATAAGCAGTGATTTAAGCACTTGTGCAGAAAAGTACTGCTCCCTTTTCCATGTTTCATCTTTATCTCTGAGGTACAAGCAATAAAGTCCAATGATGAAAACTAAATTTTTATTTTAAATAGTTTATTTGTATTAATATTGGTTCTAGCAAAAGAATAATAATCAACTTTAAATTTGCAAGGAGACCTCAAAGTCATATAATTCAATTCTTTAGTTTGTAGATAAACAAATTGGAGAACAGAGGCCAGGGGCAGTGGCTCACACTTGTAATCCCAGCCGTTTAGGAGGCCGAGGCTCAAGGATTGCTTGAGACCAGGAGTTTGAGATCAGCATAGGCAACATAGTGAGACCCCATCTCTACAAAAAGTATTTACTTAAAATATTTTTTAAAAATAAATTTGAGACCAGAAACATCTTTTATTTTATACATAAAGATACTTGAGACCAAATAAACAGTGACTTTCCCCAGGTTAGCCAAGGAACTTGAATGTCTTGATTCCTAGGCCAGGACATGGTCCACTACCTATTCCAATTCTTTCCTCTTTTTAATATTTATGTTGTGTAGATAGTACTCTGCAGAGTTCACATGCTTTAACATCAGGCAGTACTGGGTGTTAATCCTGACTGCACCTCTTACTAGTTGTGTGAAGTAGGATAATTTACTTGACCTCTACAAGTCCATTTCCTCATTTGTGAAATGGGGGGTAATATTATCTAGAACATAGAGTTCTTAAAATGGACTCAGCATATTCACAGTGTCTGTGTAGTAGCTCTTTGATAAGTATTTCCTGTTGTTGGTATTGTTGTCTGTTGTTTACTTTGTTATGAAGCTGGATGACATCTATCCAGAGAATACTGCTAGTCAAGCTTCTCAAATTTCATAAATAGAATGTCAGCATTACCAACTGCTCATCTGGTCTCCAAAGAACATAAATCTACTCTCAATCAGCAATGCTTTGTACCTGCATTCCTGTTACTTGTTAGAGATTATAACTTTGGTGTGGCCCCACCGTGACAAGTGATGAAGGGAAGCTTATCTAAGAAGCTGTGTAAAGAGGTTCCTTTAATGGCAAATTGGAAAGAGGCTATTTGGAATCAATCTGTTTAAAAAAAAAAAAAAAAAAAAAGTACAACAACATAAAAGTGAAGGCAGCCTTAGTGTGTATCCTGAGCTTATATCATCTTTTATTCCCTAAAGAAATAGACATTTGCCAAAAATCTTGTTGAAAATGTTGATCATTCTAGCACTCACTGCTCCCAAGTAAATCCCATGTGAGAAATTACTTTAAAAATTTAGTGCCCGGCTGTAGCTCTGTGAACAATGGCTGCAAAGGAGCTTCCTGCCAGCCTGGGGAAGCCATAGCCTGCATATGATCAGTCCCTTTATAGAACTAAGGTTGACTTGATGGAGTCAATGCTGGTAAAGTTCTCCTAGGAAAACTGACCTGGATTTATACAAGGTCCAGCCTTGGAGGTGGTAAGAAAGGTCACTTTCATGGCAGGCCAAGATCCTTGATATGTTTTGAAAATCTCATCAAGAAGAAATGAATTAGGCCAAAATGTATGGATACTGCAGATGAAATATTGTGGAGAAATTTCCTTGGCCTTACATCCTTACCCTTGGGACAGCAAGTAAATAAAATCTTATAGAAGACCAAGCTGAGATTTCTTAGAGACCTTTGGGTAAAGAAGGCCCATAAAGAAGGCTAACATTTCCTGCACCTGTGTAAAGAACCAGGCCAAATCTAATAAGGCAATACTCACTTTGTCTTCAAGAATCTTTGAGGTTCTTTTTAATAAAAAGTGGGGTGACTATAAGGAAAAGTTTGTGTTTAAATGGAAAATTTTGTGTTGTCATTCTAGAGCACACCTGTGCTGTCTGATTCCCATTCTGTGGGAGCTGTTTTACAGCTTTCTACATTGTAGATGACTGGCGGCAATGCTAAATTATTCTTGTCCATAGACATGCAAATGAATTCTGTCCAGTGGAAAAATGACCAAAAAAAACCAATGTGGCCCTATTTGCACAGTCATTTTAATATTCCTGATCTATAAAGGTGTCAGTCCTTGGGATTCTCCTTTCACCTAGTTGCAACACTTCCCTGATTTCCTTATGAATGAGTTAAATAAAACATTTAACTAATGTTTATTCTGGAAAAAAAAAAAAAATTAGTGCCTGGGTGGGGGAGAAGGGTCTCCCCTGAAAAACTCACATGTTATCCCTTCCTATACTAAGTATTGTGTACTTTATTTTCTTTTACTTTATTTTTATTTCTTGTTCCGTCTGGCATGTATCTTAGAATACAATATGAAGCTTAGTCATAGCATCTGTTACATTAAACCATCCAGAAGTTTTCCTCCTGATCCTAATGTTATTTATTTAATTTATGGCCACATCCATTATACCTTCCTCAAAACCTCTATGGAAAGAGAAAGAAATAACTAAGTTGATGGATTAATGGAACTCTTCCTCCAAGTTGTTCTCAAAAGCCAGTGCACATCAGAAGTGTCTGCAGATCTATCTAAATGACACAGCTTAGGATGCATTCCCCAGAGATTCATATTTGATAGGTTTATGTTAGTGCTTTTTAACAACACCCCAAATGATCCTTAACGCAAGTGACCCATGAACCACACTTTGAAAAACATTGACTTCAGGTTTTCTACTGAAAAGAACTTTATTCCAGAGGAATCTAAACAATTCAAGGGAAAAGCTTACCTGCAAATAGTAAGATATAAATGTTAGGATAGCTTCAAATTCATCCATTTGTGGAATGCCTACTATGTTCTATGCAATGAGGTAACTCTTAAGGATACAGAGAAAAATAAGACATGCTTCATGTATTGAAAAGTGTTCAAATTCAGTGAGAAAGATGGATATGCAAACGAGTATAATATTTACAATGATAGAAGTTTGTATAGGGTTATATACACAGTACAGAGGAGATAGGGAAAGGTCAGGGAAAGCATCAGAGAGGTGAGGGCCAACAGGCCTTTGATTGATGAAGAGTGAGCAGCTCATGATGAGGATCAGATCACATGAGGGAGGAAAAAGAAAATAGAGGAAAAAATTCACATTGAGCATGCAAGCACAGCCTGACACTGACTCATAACCAGGAAGTTAAAGAAGGATTAGAGAGTTTGGGGCAGTATCCATTAGTGGTGCTATAAAAAACAGAATAAACTATGATCACAAGTTAACATGGAGATCATCTTCCATGGTATCTTGTGTTGGGCATTTTTTTTTTTTTTTGTGACAGAGTCTCTCTCTGTTGCCTAGGCTGAAGTGCAGTGGCGTGATCTTGGCTCACTACAACCTCTGCCTCCTGGGTTCAAGCAATTCCCATGCTTCAGCCTCCTGAATAGCTGGGATTACAGGCATGTGCCACCATGCCTGGTTAATTCTTGTATTTTTAGTGGAGATGGAGTTTCACCATGTTGGCCAAACTGGTCTCAAACTCCTGGACTCAAGTGATCCACCTGCCTCAGTCTTCCAAAGAGCTAGGATGACAGGCAGCCATCACACCTGGCCCTCTCTTGGATACCATTTTTAAATGGGTAGATACCTAACATCCTAACAGTATGGGAACCTATGATTTGGAGGTGTATGGCCTTAACTGGCATCCAGAATTCTATCTGAAAGGCCACAGAAATGTTCCCAACTCAAGCCATGGGAGGGAATCATGGAGGCAAGCAGGACTAATTTTGACTTGGAGAAGAGAGTCACCGTATTTGAGGATGATGTCTATGTTTTCTAAAGGTGCCTGCCCTCT